GAAGAGACCGCTGTCCTCACCGTAGAGCAGAGCTCACACACAGGCCCAGAGCCCAGCCCGTTAGCTCTATGATGCACAGACGAAAGCCTCTAATGCCTTGACGCCACCGTCGTGTCGTGTTTCTGAGAGGAGAACCTAATGGATTGTTTCCGGTGGGGGGGGGTTCACTGGTCATTTTGCTCTGTGCCTGTGAGGCCACTATACTTGTGGCGAGCAAGGACATCACCCAGCCTAGGAGTTGCAGAGCCAGGATGGAGCGGTGTTGGGGCACACGGGAAGTTAACACCTTGGGGACCATAAGAAAACCACTTTGAAATCGGCAGAATGTCCTTTTGAGCATGCTCCAAGGAACTTTCAAAATGGCGTTAATCTAAGAGGGTTCCCAGCTTCCCTGTTACACTGCTTTATGTGGCATCCGTTGCAATCTCTACACTAAAACCTTAATTAATCCCGTGTTGGCGCTGGGAGGGTGCTGCAGTGTGTAGGGTCTCGTATTCAGTGCTGCTGTCCACGTGAGCCTCTGGTTGGTGTGTCTGTCTCCCGTCTCATGACGAGAGTTCTGGGATTACGGACCTCAGCCTCCACATCTGGCTCTCTCTTTAGACATGAGCCCCAGGCTCGTGCAACTTCTGCCCGCCCAGCCAGCTCAGCGGCCTATGTTCCGTACCTGCAGTGAACGCGTTAGCTGTCTGTGTAAGCCACTGCCCTCGCTTTGTGCTGGGGTTTCAGTGATTTTTAGGACTTTGCAAGGACACCAGTTTTAGAGCCGTGGGTTTGACAACTACAAAACCCCCGTTTCTTTTTAGCAATGTAATTTTGTGTTACATATTAAAAGTTTTGATCTAGGAATAATTGTTTCTCAAGGGTATTAAAAAGGCAACCAACATCATTCATTCTGATAATTTAGGAGAGAGACTTTGTTTAAAACCTGTGAAACAGGAGTTCAGTGAGAACTTAGTTCACTTGTCCTAACATTTCAGCCTCCAGCCGCTAGAAAGTTCTTCTTTGTATCTTACCTACATGCAGAACTCTTTGTTGTGAATTAGAGTCACCCAGGAAACGAGGCACAGTAGCTCGTGATGTCAGCGTCACGTTAATCAGACCCTGCTTGATACGACGAAGTCGTTTCAGAGTGCTTCAAGCTACATTGGTGGATCTGAAACTTGATTTCCTCCCATGGGAAAGAGCGCACCACCGGCCACTCGGGTTAAAAGGCCCACACGGTGCGGGGGCCTTTGTATTGTTGCACACGGGTTCTCGGGTGGCCGGCAGTCTCTCGGGCTGTGCACCAAGGGTGTGGTTGCCGGCTCCCAGCTGTGGGAAGTGGCTGGGCTCCGTGGTGCTAACCCTGTCAGCGAGCGACCTACTCTCGGAGTGCTCACTTGATCTTATTTGGAAGTTTGGGACCCTGGCAGAGGAAGTGTCCTGCTGAAGGCGTGTGATGGCAAGGCGTGTCGTGTCCCCGGCCCCTCTGTCTCTCTCCCCGGTCTCCATGAAGTGAGAGCCTTGCTTCACCGTGCGCTCCCGGCCAGGGTTTGCTTCGTTTTGGAGCCATAAGCAAGGAAGCTGGCCAGCCTAGACTGGAGACTGCAAACCACGAGCCAAAGCAAGTTGTTCCTCCCCGAGTGACGCCAGACATTTTGTCATAGCTCTAGTGTGAAGCCCGTGTGCCTTCAGAGGCTGGAGCCAGTTGTGTCAGAGAGATAAAGAGAGCCAGGGGAAAGGAAGAGCCGGGGCTGCGGCAGAGGCGACTCTCGGGAGGAAATGAGGAGTGACAGCGGCAGGCCCCAGGGCACAGTTCAGGGTGTCACCAGTGGTGCCTGTGCCTTGTGCGTCCTCGACGAGTGGGTGAACCACAGAGGCGAGAAAGGATTGGCTGCGGGGCTGCGGGGCTGCGGGGCTGCTGTGCTGGGTCTCATTCCCACGGGGCCACGGCCACTCACCATCCACAACTGAAGCAGCCGGAGCCTGGCAGACACCTGGTTGATGTGGCCAGGGGTTTCAGGGCATTAAAGCTGGTGAACCTCGCCCTTGGAGGACTAGCTGGCCAAGTCCACAGCACAGAAGAGGACATGCCAGGCCTGTCTGTGCAGGACCTGGGAATTCCCACCAGGGCTGTCTGACTGCAGAGCTGGCCTTGGGGAGTGCATTACGTTAATGGTGCAGGCCCACCTCAGCAAGCCTGCAAATGGAGACGGGCGTGGCTGAGGCTGGGGCTCCTCAGACAGGCTGTGTCATCCTACACGAGGCATCTTCTGACTTCCACATTCTCTGAGCTGGCTGGGTCAGCATCCTGTTGCTGCTCTCAGAGATGCTGTCTCCGTCTCATAGGTATTCCATGCAAAGAAGTTCTGTTTCTTATCCTTAGGAAGCTTAAAATGATTGAAGTAGGAAACGCAGTTCGGTACTGAGGGTGCATATGTGTGTGTGTGTGTGTGTGTGTGTGTGTGTGTGTATGTGTGTGTGTATACATACACATACATACATATATGTGTACACACACACACACACTAGTTAGCCTAGCAATGTGGTCTGTTGTGTGACTGTCGTGCCTGTTGCTGGGACACTAGTCCAGTATAACAGTGTCCATGCATGGAAAGTGCAGGGTGTTGCTAGCACATTCTAAATGGGTGGCTGAACTGTCCCTTTGGTCCTGAGTTCTGAACGGGTAAAACCTTAGTAAAACTAGGTAGCACATGGCTGCCGACTCTGCTTAAAGAAGTGGAGTAGAGGACAAACACACATTCCCTGGGTGCTGGCAGGGACACTTGCTTTAGAGTCACATTATTTACCAGCACGTCAGAGTCTGGAGCACTTGGGCCAATACGGAGCCTAACTTACACTGCTTCTGTGTCGGTACTGGCTGAAGGGATAGACTGAGAGCCTCGTGGAGGTCTGATTGCATGAGTATGCCTGAGCAAGACACTTGCGTGTCACTGAATGGCCAGTGGGACGCCGTGCAAGGGCTCTGGTGTGTAGACTGGAGGGAAGCATGCGGAGGGTGACGTTCGGTTGCAGGCCTGTGACCGTTTCCTCCTTAGTTTTCCAAGGCTTTTGTGAACACACACCCTGGCTAACTGTCTAAGAGCTTTTTTCTGAAGGTGACAGTGGCTCTGTGTGTGGAGGTGGGGGTTGGTGCAGCTCTGAAACAGAGCCCCCGAGGGCTGTGTCTCCCGAGGGCTGCCGAATAAGGCGTGAGTCCTGGAGCTTGGAACAAAATTTAACCCATAGACCCCCAGATCAAGCTCACCTGGTTCAGAGGAGATCCAAGACTCATGCCAGGCCTTCGGTGTCTGACCAGCCTCCTAACAGGGAACGTTAAGTTCGTAGAAACTGTGGGAGGGTTGCACACGGCCCTCCCTATGCCAACTACTGTCCTGCAAGCCTGGTCTCTCTGTCATCACCTCACTCTGCCCTCGAGGTTTGCATCACCGAGATGTTTGTGCAGGCTGATGAGTATTAAACAACCTCACCGTCCCAGAGGCGGGCCACTAAAACATTTGCCGATTCTCTCACCCCGTGCTCTTTAATCGGAACTCTTGTTTGAAAACAGTGTGCGCTTGTAATTCAGTTCCGTGTAACGATGTCATTCAGCAGGGCTCCGTGGAGTGCATGCACCTCACAGTTTACACACCGTGCCAGACGGATCCTGGTCTTTCAGGTTACAGGGACAGTAGCTGGTGGGCGCTGAGGTCAGGTTGGCAGAGAAGGGAGGTTGTGGTTCCATGGGAAGCGCGGTAGGCTGGGAAGGACTGAGGAGGGGTTCGGTTCGACCTATGCTAAGGCTGTTTGGAGCCCCAAGGAGGTGACAGGCTGCTGAGGTGGTCCACACCCGGTACTTTGCTGGGGAGTGCATCGCTCCCCCACCCCTTGCTTTAGGAGTGGAATCCGACGAGCTGAGAGCTGCGTTGTTCTCCCCCCCCCAGGGTGCTCTGCAGAGTGTTCTCCCCCCCCCCCCAGGGTGCTCTGCAGAGTGTTCTCCCCCCAGGGTGCTCTGCAGAGTGTTCTCCTCCCCCCCCAGGGTGCTCTGCAGAGTGTTCTCCTCCCCCCCCAGGGTGCTCTGCAGAGTGTTCTCCTCCCCCCCCAGGGTGCTCTGCAGAGTGTTGGCTAAGTCCAGAGTCCCTGTGCCTGCTCCACTCACCTTTCAAGTCCTCACTAGCCCTCTAGAAGCTCCCGAATGTTCTTGTCTGGAGTCGTAGGCTCCCTGCAGTGAAACAGTAGTGAGCTGCTTTTGCTCGAATGGTGTCAGAGGACAGATACTGGCAAGGCCTTGGGACTAAGCTGCTGTCACTATGAAAGAGTGAGGTCTCAAGCGGGTTTAGTGGCTGGTTGGCGCTCGTTATGGAGCAAGCTGGAGAATGGCACTCCAAAGTTCCTCCAGGAGTGAACAGGTAGATGTATAGTTTCTGGCCGTCCTAAACCCCTAGCATTTCCGTTCGTGGTTTTAAACAGTATTTCTTCCGTGTTTCAGAATGGGTGGGCTTGCATTCCATAGACTCTTTCTTCAGTGAAAGAAACAGATGAGGGGAGAGGGTGGTCCTCGCCTGCTCTTATGCGACATTGGATGACATGTGCCGCCTGGTTTCTAATGGTAATTAATACTGGCTTAGGTATATTTTGAAGGGCCTTCTGGTTACAAGGAGCCTTTATTTCTAAAACAAAAGGTGGTTTGGAAGGGGAAATCAGCTGTGCTCCCTTGAATGTGAAAGGGGAAGGAAGTGCTGATCTGGTTGGTTTGTAAAACCTCAAGTGCAGTGTCTTGAAGGTGTCCCTCCGTCAACCAAAGAACACATGTCTCCGTTTAATGTATGACTGTGTCGGGGAAAAATGCAACCCCAGTAGGTGACCAAGAGAAAAGCGACTTTCAGGGGTTTCAAAGCCCAGGAGTGTTGAGTATTTGCTCTCTCAGCATTAACAAGGTCACCTTGCTAATACATGTTAATTTTGAAAGTTTAATTGACCTCTGGAATTTTAATATCAACCTTTTTTGGTGTGTTTAGAGGTTGGAGCAGTCACAGAAGAAACTGCAGCTTGTGATTGGTGGAGCCTGGGTGCTGTCCTCTTCGAACTTCTCACTGGCAAGGTACGCAGTGACCTCGACACCTAGTGCGCGCATCCAGATGCCGCCCCGACTCCAAGTCAGACCTGCTAGCCTTGTAGTCGTTAGATCAGGGCTGAGGGAAACTTCAGTGTCAGAACAGGCAGAGGAATTTATCAAGATTCCAATTTTTTAAAAATCATGTAGCATTGGATAAATTGATGGCAACTCTCTGCTATGCCACAGCTATCCAGGGAGAGACTCGGCTCTTCCCCTGCCCTCCCCGTGACACAGGACCACAAGTGTGGGGCTCGTGACAGGCGTGTGCTAGAGTCCTCCAGAGTCTTTTCCGGTTCTTGTCTGAAGCCAAGGGGATTAATTTTTTAAAACTGGTATGGATACTGAAGGTAACATTTTTCCCCTGTATGGAACATTTTCCCTATCTACCTGTTCTAGTATGGGGCCAGAGAGTGGACTCTCTCTGATTAGAAGCTTTTAAGCATGATGTTTGAGGTCAAGAGACCTTAACTGAGTTTTGTGCCCGTCCCCTCCTGGGGAAGAAACTGGAGGAGACGCGTAGTCCCACTTTTGTTAAGTGTATGAATTAGCAATGTAAAATCACTGTGACGTCACAATAACTGATGTCTGCACTGTAAAAGCTCACTGTGACGTCACAATAACTGATGTCTGCACTGTAAAAGCTCACTGTGACGTCACAATAACTGATGTCTGCACTGTAAAAGATCACTGTGACGTCACAATAACTGATGTCTGCAGTTACACTGTAAAAATGTAGCTACATACAGGTTGAAGCGCTGACTAACAAACTCTACTCTAGAAAGATTTTTGAGAACATTAGTTATTTCAGAGCTGTCGGCCCACTCTTGGAAGTTTGTGCATTGCTTAGACTGTTGTGATCCAGGCCCTCAGCGATGAAGGAGAAGGGACACGTGCGCAGGCCTGTGGTGTGAGCACGGTGGCTGTCAGCTGCTTTGCTGATGACCTCTAGGCCCACAGCCTGATCCGCCTGGGCGAGGCTGTGTTGATAGCTGTGCCTCCAGTGTAGACGGTGTCGGCTCTCTGTAGTTGCTGCCTGTGTGCTCGGGGATTGGGCAGGGTGCGAGGTGACCGGGATAAGAGACGTAACTGATTGACTCTTGCAGACCCTGGTGGAGTGCCACCCAGCAGGAATAAACACCCACACTACTTTGAACATGCCAGGCTGTGTTTCTGAAGAGGCTCGCTCACTCATTCAACAGGTAATTGACCGACCTCCTGGCTGACTACCCTCAGCTTGCAGGTTAGCAGAGCCCGTTGCAGTAAAGCCGTTAGCAAGTGTTTGGGGGCAGGGAAGACTCACGTGCAGTCACGTTCACGGTGAGTGTGCCCATTTGCGGGATCAGAGGAAGGGCTGGAACTCGGTACTAATTTTTGTGTTAAGTTGGGGCTGATATTGAGTTAGCTCCATCTATTTATGGAGTATAAGATTAGATTGTGTTGGGCTTATCTGGGACTGCCCTATCCCCTATTGTATTATGTAGCCCTTTGTCGAGTGGTTTCTCCACTCTTTAATTCTCATTTCACAGGGAGAAGGGTTATAACGTTGTCAAGTCAGCCCCAGGGCCTCCTCCCCTTGGTGGGACTGGAGCCCTATGCCCATCTGTATAGCTCTGGTGGCTTTGGAGCCCTATGCCCGTCTGTATAGCTCTGGTGGCTTTGGAGCCCTATGCTCGTCTGTATAGCTCTGGTGGCTTTGGAGCCCTATGCCCGTCTGTATAGCTCTGGTGGCTTTGGAGCCCTATGCCCGTCTGTATAGCTCTGGTGGCTTTGGAGCCCTATGCCCGTCTGTATAGCTCTGGTGGCTTTGGAGCCCTATGCCCGTCTGTATAGCTCTGGTGGCTTTGAGAAAGACTCTGCTGAGAACTTAGATGCCACAGTCAGAGGTCTGGGCTCCCGTGAGCTGTTCCCACTAACTCTCCTCTGTGTGACAACACAGCACAAGTCTTTCCAGGATGTGGGTTCGGTAGCGTCTGTGTAGACTTTATGGCTGGGCAGTCATAATGGAACCAATGCAGCATCCCAAATGCTCTGAAATCTCAACTTTTTGAGGCCCTGTGTATACTCAGGGAATGTAAGAGTTCGGGGTGTCTGAGAGTCGTGGTCAGATGAAGACTCCTCACCTCTGCCTGGGTTGTCCTGAGGCAGGGGTTCTGCTGAGAGAAGGCGCTATGTTGTGAGGGGCTCACAGCACTGCAGTGTTTATACTTCCATGGAAGCCATAAAACAAAAAGGTGATCTTAAGTGGTGAACCAAGCGAACTGAAATTAGTCAGTGAATATGGATGCTTTGAACTCAGAGAACATAAAAATTAAAAGAGAGAGGAGGCATATAAAGAAAACAATCCCCTCATGTTGTCCTAGAGTAGTTTTGATTCCATTTGGGACTCAGTCAGGTGGAAACTGCTCAGAGCTCTTGGAGTCAAGACAGGGAGGGGCCTGGTGAGCGCTGTGGACGTGCTGTTGTGGGCTGGGTGTTTTTCTGCTGGGCCTCTGGCACAGTTCAGTAGGACAAGGGTAGGTGTGGGAGTAGCAGAGGGGTTGACACAGAATGAAGGGTGACTTTAGAGCCCTGGACTTGGGGCTTCTCACGACGCTGGTGTCGTGAACGGAGGGTAGAAGGACACAGCTCTTGAGATGTGCGATTTGCTGCGGTGTGAAAAGGTGAAGGTGTCAGAGCTGAAGTAATTCCCCCACCCTGTGAAATAAGGACATGTAGCTGTGGGCTGGGGACGCGCCTCAGTGGGCAGTGTGCCTGCCTGGCATGCTACAGAGCCCTAAGTTCCCCTCTCAGACCGAGCAGAAGCAACACGATGGCACATGCCTGCTGCTAAGGTCATTCTTGGTTACTTGTAAGTTTGAGTCTAGCCTGGGATACTTGAGATCCCACCTCAAAACAAGCATGCAGAATTTAAAAGGGGGGGCAAGGAGGAGGCTTGGGAGAGGAGGAAGAGGAGGGGGGACGAGGAGGGAGAGGAGGGAGGGGTGAGGAGGAAGAGGAGGGAGGGGCGAGGACACCAACAGGAAGAAGTGTGGGAAGGCGCAGTCTGGTAGGCACAGGTGCGTGCATTCAGAGCCGCGGTCTGTAGTAAGTGTCAGAGAAAACCGTGTGAGATGCTCCGCTCTAGCTGCTTATTTGGTTCCATCTTGTTTGTTGTGGTGCAAGGAAAAAAAGGTGTTTGTGGAGGGAGGGTAAGGGACCCTGCATGGAAATATGGAAGCCACGTGCGGACACACGGGTGCCAGATCTCTGAAAAGCAGTAACAGAGGACACTGTAAAGCCAGCGAGAGAGACTCATCTCATGGGAGGGGTATTGATGCCTGGTTTCTCATCAAGAACAACAAGGGACGGGGGACCCTAGAATAGCATTTATAGTATTGGGGGGATATCAGCCTGTAATTCATAAGCGTTTCCTTTTCACAAAGGGTGCAGTAGAGACACTCCCAGATAAAGAATGCCGAAGTAGCTCCAGCCGTGGCCGTACATGTCAAGAGCTAGGACTCGGGGTGGAGGAGATGGTGGCAGGTTGGGCTCAAGTCTGAGTACACTGTGAACAGTGCAGTTCATAAAAAGTCTACATGTGTTTTTCCCCATTTACTTCCCCTATCTGTTTCAAAAAATACAGACACATGAAATGACAATTATGAGCTAGTGCTGTTGGGCTTATGACATGTATAGATACAGTATACATGTAGTTCTTTGTGTAAGTCCATTCTTCATCCATGAATTCAAACAACATACACATATATGTACATACATACATACATATATATATATACATAATTTTTAAAATTCTAGGCTGTCTGGGCTTGGCAGTTCACACCTATAATCCCAGCATGTGGAAGGTTGAAACAGGAGGATGACCATTAGTTCAGGGCCAGCCTGGGCTACATATTGAGTCACAGTATGAGCTGGAAAGGATTGCGTGTTTTTCTCGTCACTGTGTCTGCACACTGGAGTGCAGGAGTTATTTGCATATTGGTTGCATTGTGTTGTGGCTTAAAGACACCTGAAGTGCATGGGGGGACATCGGTTGTTCCAGCACTGTCACGGACTGGAGCAGCCACCCATGTGTCCTGGTATTCACGCGGACCTGGATTGTACCCAGCAGTGTTAGAGGGGCAGAGCTGGGCCATGGAGGGGAAAGTCCCTGCCTGTCGCTGACTTAGTGCTGTTCCGAAGCAGACCGTGATAAATCAAGTTGTGTGGTTCCCACAGCAGCTGCTAAAGGAACCCTGGGAACACTCAAAGTGAGTGTCTGTACACACTCTACAAAGGTCTTTAAATTGCTCGGGACGGCCTTGAGTTCAGGTACAAGTGGGTTAAAGACAAAGGTGGGGACAGGTAAAGTGTGCACACAGTCACCCGCAGGGCTGGAGTGACGACACTAAAGGTCAGCAGAGTGGACGTTAGGGCAGGGGCGGGAAAATGTAACAAGTGTAACTAGTAACAGCCCCAAAGTACACACAGAGACTGACTGGAGAGGAAAAATAGCTCAGCAAACAGAGCGGCCCATGTCTCACGTAGGCGGTTATAGACACTAGCAGGCTTCAGAGGACAGACACGTGGACTGGTACAGCGGAAGGCTCTGCAGTGACTGCAGTGTGTACACGTCCGCTATGCGTACCGAGAGCGGCCTCCTGGGTGAGCATGTGCTGTGTTCACAGAAACCTCGGTGATTAGCAAGCCTGAGGTCCAGCAGTGTACTCTGACCACAGCAGAGGAATTATCAGTCAATAGCAGGCAACAGGCAGGTCAGAGGTTCAAGGTCATCCTTGGGAGCCCCCCCCCATCCCAAAAGAGTCAGCTAAATCCACAGATACTTGGGAATTACTTCTCCGTAACTTACGGGTCAAAGAAGAGACCATAAGATGAGCCACACCCAGTGCTGATGGAATAGCAGTGGGAACACATCCCGGGCGGGGCGCGTGGAAGGAGCTGCTCCCATGGCCACACTGGCTTTCACATCCCTCAGAGTCTAAGGCTGCACCTTAAGACTCAGGGAAGAACTGGGCACGGGGGCTCACACCCATGATCCCAATACTTGGCAAGCTGAGGCAGGAGGATTGCCATGAGTTCAAGGCATGAGTGCCTACTTTAAAAATGAGTAAATACACACAGAAAAAGAACTATGCAAATAAAGTAAACCCAAGGCCAACAGAAGAAAGAGAAACAAGTGAGAGAGAAAACGATAAGAGGAGGAACTATGCCTTGAGAAGGCTGGTGGGTTGGGGAGACTTTGTCCGACTGTCGTGACAGAGGCAGAGAAACCCTGCATCTAGACCGTTCTTAGCGAACGCTGGTCTGAACTAGATGACCTCGTGCTGCAGGCATCAAGATGGCAGTGTGCTTTGTACAGATGCTTGGAAATTAACACGCACTTGCTAACCACAGTGAACTAGACCCTACCCTCACTTCACACCATATGCAAGAATTAACGCAAACTAGCTTGCAGGCCTTTGCAGAAGAGCTAAAACTGTAAAGCCTGTAGAGGAAAACATGGGAAAACACTCATGGCCTTGGGCTACGGCAGAGCTAATTAGATACAACACCAAAAGCGTGATCCACAAAAGGAATATTGATAAAGTAGACTTCGTTAAGATTAAAAAAACGGGAGCACTTTAAAGATTACTGAAGAATGTGAAAACAAGCCGCAGGCTGCGAAGATGTTTGCAAACCGCTTGCCCATGCTTATGTTCAGAGCGAATAAAGAACTCTTGTCACCCAATAGGACAACTTAGTTTGAAAATGAGCGGATGTGAGGTATCTCAGCACAGAGTCTCTATGAGTGGCTACCAGGGCACACAATCATGATCAGTGTCGTCAGTCACTGCAGAGTGCAACCAAAACCACTGCGAGATGCCACTAACCCTCTGAAACCACTGCGAGATGCCACTAACCCTCTGAAACCACCGCGAGATGCCACTAACCCTCTAAAGCCACCGCGAGATGCCACTAACCATCTAAAGCCATTGTGAGATGCCACTAACCCTCTGAAACCACCACGAGATGCCACTAACCATCTAAAGCCATTGTGAGATGCCACTAACCATCTAAAGCCACCGCGAGATGCCACTAACCCTCTAAAGCCACCGCGAGATGCCACTAACCCTCTAAAGCCACCGTGAGATGCCACTAACCCTCTGAAACCACTGTGAGATGCCACTAACCCTCTAAAGCCACCGCGAGATGCCACTAACCATCTAAAGCCATTGTGAGATGCCATTAACCCTCTAAAGCCACCGCGAGATGCCACTAACCCTCTAAAGCCACCGCGAGATGCCACTAACCCTCTGAAACCACCGCGAGATGCCACTAACCCTCTAAAGCCATTGTGAGATGCCACTAACCATCTAAAGCCACCGCGAGATGCCACTGACCCTCTAAAGCCATTGTGAGATGCCACTAACCCTCTAAAGCCATTGTGAGATGCCACTAACCATCTGAAACCACCGCGAGATGCCACTAACCCTCTAAAGCCACTGCGAGATGCCACTAACCCTCTAGAGCTGCTCTTATGCAAGGTCAGAGGTCGCTGGGCAGAAAACCCAGAGACCTTGCTCACCGCTGATGGGGAGTGTGGACAGGTACAGCCACACCGGCAAAGTCTGGCAGTTTCTTAGTTGTATTCTAACGTGCTGTGTGAACGAAGGGTTCTGACCTAGGAATAAACTCCGAGGAACACACGCGACTCTGAACAGCGGTGTCATTCAGTACAGTGCAGCCAGTGAATGGACTAACTACAGGGGAGGCACCATGGACGGTCGATCAGGAAGTAGGCCGGGACCTGCCTCCAGAAGGTTCAGTCCCCGGGCACTGTGCTCAGTGAGGGAAGAGTGTGCAGACTCGGTTAGCACTGCATCCCGTAGATAAGTTGTCCCTTACTTAGTAAAGCTATTGACACAAATGTGAGGATGCAGGAATGCTTCTGCCACACTCTCCCAGCATGCCCAGGGCCTCCATATGGTTGTACACAATCAATTCTGGTTTTTAACTGTTAAGAATCTGACTAACTATGACATTATTTGCTTGTTTTAAACATAATTCCTAATTCTGAACAAGTCATAGCATATTTCACTCACTGGACTAAATTCCTTCACCAAATGCACCAGCCGTTCCAGAGAAGCGGTTTGGGGGAGGTAGATTTGCTTGTTCCCATCCAAGCTTGCGCCTTCCTGATGTGCTGTATTTGCTAAGGAAGTGAAAGGCTTTGTGGGGCTCCCAGATTCCTGAGTCATGGAGAAAGTGGCTGTCTATCTTATCCTGTTTGAGGATGAGGGAACCCCAGCGAGTTACTCAGGTGCTGACAGAGTTGTCACTCAGTTGGGATGCTCCACCAGCCCACAGCCAGACAGCTGGTTGGCCATAGGTGGCCTATTTATCGCTTGGTTGAATCCCGAAGCCCTTCCCTTCCACAGCCTGTTTTCCCGTCGTTGCCACTGTGTTTCTGTCACTCATGGAATCTCCCGTTTCAGCTCTTGCAGTTCAACCCTCTGGAGCGTCTGGGTGCCGGAGTGGCTGGTGTTGAAGACATCAAATCTCACCCGTTTTTCACGCCGGTGGACTGGGCAGAGCTGACAAGATGAGCGTCATGTGGCGTGTTCTTCAGGAGACAGAGCCCCTCGTGACAGAGCTCCAGGAGTGTCTAGGCTTCCGTCACCCTTTAGCTGGTGCGCCAGAGCCTTGGGACGAGGCCTTAGAGGAGGTGATGGGGCAGGGGGCTAACAGACCCCCTTCCACCTGCTGACTGGACGCGAGACTGGTGACCATCGCCAGCAGCTGCATTGCCCTCGCCCTCCCCGAGACGTGACGTAACTCGCCTTCAGGGGTTCTGGCGTGTTGCAGACATGAATGAGAGGAGGCTGTAAGTGTGGGAGGGAGGGAGATTTACTTGAGTGAAGGACCTTTTGGTGGCAGCTAATGGTGCTTCTGCTATACAAGACTGGTTTACACGATTAAGTTGATATTTGCTGAGTAACACACTAAATACGCTCTGTGAACAGTGTCCCCCACGGCTGACAGCGTGGAGAGGAACGCCCAGTGCTGCGCAGGGCCAGGCTAGCTGAGGAAAAACACTCTTGCCAGCTTCGGACTTGCTGGTGGATGCTGCTAACGCTCGTGGGAACACGCCTGTCCCCCAGCTCGCCTCTCCCCTGCTCCACGTCCTGCATTCTCCGCTCATCCTCCTGGATTCCGCTTTATTCTTCTGTCAACACACAAGCAACAAAAAGGGAAGGGGTGCTTATTCCCCCAAACTGTCAGTGTAACGAGACTAAGAAATCATGATGTAAAATAAATGTGGTTGAAACTTGTATGGCTTCTTTATTAGTAGCTTAAGATTTAAAGGTTCATTTGGAGGGTCCTTTCCTTTTCCCTTCTCCTGTGGAAGGTGGACAGTTTTTCCCTGCCGTGACTTAGTGTGTTTGTTTTCCTTTGGGCTGGCATGCTGGTACTCGTAGTCTGTCAGCTGTACACAGTAGATGTCACAGCGAGGTGAAGTCGGGCTGAGCGCCTGGTAACTCTGTCTCACAGTCACTAACGCCGCTTCTTCATTTCACTAAGGTAGTGCGGCCGCCACCGTGCTATTTGCCAAAACTTGCAGATGCCTTGGAAGTGGTAGTTCTGTTTGTGACACTTCACAGAGATCACAGAGCAAGGCCACCAGAAGTTACTGAAGCTCCCTGTTACTTTGTTGTTGCCATTGTGTTTTGTTTGTGTTGCATTAGAGATTAGACTCAGAACCTTGTGCTGCATGCTAGGCAAGCACTGTCCCATTGAGCTTTGCCCCAGCCCCTGGATTTTTCTGTTCTGATCTTTGTGCTTTTGCATCCACCCTGGCCCCAGGAGAATCTTGGCGTCCATCTGCTGACTTCCAGGTCTCCTGTCAGGATAAGCAGAAGCAGAAGTGTTTGTTGGAACACAGGAAATGTGCAAGCGTTTTCCCTCTCCTATTATTTGACCCTCTCTCCCCTCTTCAGTCCCCTTATAACCCAGAACCCAGCTGAAGGACCGACAACACCAGGTTGGGATATAGCAGGTCACCAAGATCAGACCTCAGTCAGGATGACATCAGTCCCTGGAACTGGGTTTGGTTCACCACCCCCAGCCCCATGACAGGAACTCATGCAGGTGAGACACAGGAGGACGGACTTCCTGTGTGGGTCGGTAGGAAGTGTGTGAGCAGGCCAGCCAGACCTTCCTTGCAGAAGTGCCCTGCGACATAGAATCAGGACGGCACAGAAGGTGAAGGGTCTGCCCCTCCATGTGATTCGGGCCCCTGGACTCCAAGGGCAGGAACACAAACAAACGGTCGCCGTGTCAGTGAGTGGGCGTACTTCCACAGCTACAGTCCCTCTTTCGGCATGCTTGACTGGGGCTTGTACTTAGTGTAAACACATCATTCACGTTGAACACAAGCTGTCTTAGAAATAAAGCTGGGTACCTGGCCGTGGGAGAAGCCCATCTTTCACGCAATGTTCTGTTCGTGCTGAAGTCCAGAGGAGGGAGACTGGCTTACGTTACACTTCATGTTTTGATGGCTCAGGTGGAGGGCTGGAACATGGGTCAAAACCATAAAAGAATTACCGCTTGGTATCTCAAATCTTTTTTTTTTTTTTACTAGAGTCAAAGTAAGTTTGGTGGTTCTGAATGTGTGTGTGTGCTCGTATGCGCACGTGCACGTGTGTGTGGAGGTCAGGCGTCGACGCTAGGTGTCGGTCTTAGGTTTCTATTGCTGCGATGAGACACCATGACCAAGTACACTGGGGAGGAGGGGGTTTATTCGGCTCACACTTCCATATCACTGTTCATCATGGTAGGAGATCAGGACGAGAACTCAAGCAGGGCAGGAACCTGGGGGCAGGAGAGGATGCAGAGGCCATGGAGGGTGCTGCTCACTGGCTTGCTCCTCATGGCTTGCTCAGCCTGCTTTCTCATAGAACCCAGGACCAGCAGCCCAGGGACGGCCCCACATGCAATGGACCGGGTGCTAACTAAGAAAAGGCCCTACAGGCTTGCCCACAGCCCGAGCTTGTGGAGGCAGCTTCTCAATTGAGATTTCCTCCTCTCAGATGACTTGTTGACATAAAACCATCCCACACAATGTCTTCCTTGGTTTCTCTTTACTGTGGGTTTTTTTTTTTTTTTTTTTTTTTTTTTGACGCAGTACCTCTCACTGAGCCTAGAGTTCACCATTTTGTCTAGACTGGCTGTGAGTGAGCCCCAAGGATCCTGTCTCCTCCTGCCCACAGCTGGGGTTACGGGTACATGCTGCCTGTGTTTTCACGTGGGACCTGGGGATCTGAACTCGGGCCCTCATGTCTGTGTAGCAGGTCCTTGGCCCACCGAGCCATCCCGCTAGCCCTTCTTCAGCCAGTTTTAGGCGTGCCAGGCAAACGTGACATTTAGCATGCCGCCATCCCTGTGCGACCATCACCACTCTCCCTCTTCAGAACCGAGCCGAAACCACACCTGTTCCGCGGCAGCCTGATGTCTGGTCTCTCCCCAGCTCCTGGTCTCCATGGCTTGGGCCGTGGCAGGTGCTTAATGGAAGTGGAGTCATGTGCTGCGTTTTTGTGCGTCTGTTTACCCCGCATGTCTTTTCCAAGGCCCGTCCATGCTGTGATCCGTGACTGTCTCTCATTAAAGACAGACCCATACTCCATTGTTTACGTGTCACGTTGGGTTAAATGACTCACCTGACGAGTGAGATCCAGGCCTAAGGGGAGCCGTCTTCTTGACCTGGCTAGGGTCTCGACGGCCTGTTCTTCCTATCCTGGCTGAGCGTCTGCCTGTTAATAGTGCTCCATTATGGGCTTACCACACTGGGCATAACTGTCTATCCGTTCAGCTGCCTCACATTGTTTCTCTTTTGGGCTGTTGTGAGTGATGGTGTCCTGCCTGAACGTGGACACGTGGGTTCCTGAGTGTCCCTCTCCTCATGACTTCGTGTTTCTACTTGGAATCCCCAGTGCCAATTTCTCTCTGCTCGTCTACAGGGCTTTGTCAGACAGGGTGTCAGTGGCTCATACTACAGTATGAAGATCACTGACTTCACCCCACAGGTAGGTGACTGAGGCATCCCAAAAGCGTAGAGAATGCCATCCGAGAATGTCACCATGGTCGAAGTTTGCTGGAGTTTGTATAATTTGAGACAGATATTTTAACTTCTTTTAAAAATTTATTTAAATTAGAAACAAGCTTGTTTTATATGTCAATCCCAGTTTCCTCTCCTTCCCCCTCCCCGGTCCCCCACCAGTTCCCTATCCCACCCCCTTTCTGCTCCCCAGGGAGGGTGAGGCCTTCCATGGGGGATTTTCAAAGTCTTCATATCATTTGGAGCACGGCCTAGACCCTCCCCCATGTGTCGAGGCTGAGAGAATATCCCTCTATGTCGAATGGGTTCCCAAAGTCCAGTCATATACTAGGGATAAATACTGATCCATTACTAGAGGCCCCATAGATTGCCCAGATCTTCTAACTGATACTCTCGTTCAGGGAGTCTGAATCAGTCCTATGCTGGTTTCACAGATATCAGTCTGGGGTCTATGAGCTCCCCTTGTTCAGGTCAGCTGTTTTTGTGGGTTTCTCCAGCCTGATCTCGAACCCTTTGCTCATCACTCCTCCCTCTCTGCAGCTGGATTCCAGGACTTGGGCTCAGTGTTTAGCTGTGGGTGTCTGCTTCTTCTTCCATTAGCTACTGGATGAAGGCTCTAGGATGGCATATAAGGTAGTCATCAATCGCATTATCAGGGAAGGGCTTTTAAGGGAGCCTCTCGACTATTGCTTAGATTGTTAGTTGGGGTCATCCTTGTAGATCTCTGGACATTTCCCTAGTGCCAAAGTTCTCTTTAAATCTATAATGGCTTCCTCTACTATGGTATCTGTTTTCTTGCTCTCCTCTATTCGTCCCCAGACTCAATCTTCCTGATCCCTCATGCCCTCCTCTCCCCTCCTCTTCTCCCCTTCTCTTTCTCTTAACTCCCTCTTCCCTCTCCCCATGCTCCCAGTTCGCTCAGGAGATCTTGTCCCTTTCCCCTTCCTGGGGACCTTGTATGTTTCTCTTAGGGTCCTCCTTGTTTCTTAGCTTCTCTGGCAGTGTGGATTGTAGGCTGGTAATCCTTTACTCTATGTCTAAAATCCATATATGAGTGAGTACATACCATTTTTCTCTTTTTGTGACTAGGTTACCTCCCTCAGGATGGTTTCTTCTAGTGCCATCCATTTGCCTGCAAATTTCAAGATTCCATTTTTTTTTACTGCTGAGTAGTACTCCATTGTATAAATGTACCACATTTTCTCCATTCTTCTGTTGAGGGGCATCTAGGTTGCATCCAGGTTCTGACTATTACAAATAATTCTGCTATGAACAACAGATGCCCTTGTTGTATGAATGTGCATCTTTTGGGTATATGCCTAAGAGTGGAATTGCTGGATCTTGTGGTAGGCTGATTCCCATTTTCCTGAGGAACCACCATACTGACTTCCAAAGTGGCTGTGCAAGTTGGCACTCCCACCAGCAGTGGAGGAGTGTTCCCCTTTCTCCACATCCTCTCCAGCATAAACTGTTGCTGGTGTTTTTGATTTTAGCCATTCTGACAGGAGCAAGATGGTATCTCAGAGTTGTTTGGATTTACATTTCCCTGATGGCTAAGGATGTTGAGCACTTTCTTAAGTATCTTTAAGCCATTTTAGATTCCTCTATTGAGAATTCTCTATTTAGTTCTGTTCCTCACTTTTTAACTGGATTATTTGGTGTTTTAGTGACTAGCTTCTTGAATTCTTTGTATATTTTGGAAATCAGCCCTCTGTTAGATGTGGGGTTGGTGAGTATCTTTTCCCATTCTGTGAGCTGCTGTTTAGTCTTGTTGACTGTGTCTTTTGCCTTATAGAAGCTTCTCAGTTTCAGGAGGTCACATTCATTAATTGTCGATCTTAGTGTCTGTGCTACTGGTGTTATGTTCAGGAAGCAGTCTCCTGTACCAATTCATTCAAGGGTACCTCCCACTTTCTCTTCTAAGAGGTTCAGTGTGGCTGGATTTATGTTGAGGTCATTGATCCATTTGGACTTAAGTTTTGTGCATGACGATAGATAAGATCTATCTGCAGTCTTCTACCTGCTAGCATCCAGTTATGCCAGCATCGTTTGTTGAAGATGCTTTCTTTCTTACATTGTATAATTTTAGCTTCTTTGTCAAAAATCAGGTGTTCGTAGGTGTGTGTGTTATGTCAGAGTTTTCAATTTGATTCCATTGGTCTACCTGTCTATTTTTGTGCCAATACCAAGCTGTTTTCAGGACGATAGCTCTATAAT